CACCCCCTCACCCCTGGCAACCACAAGTTTGTTTTCTATGTCTATGAGTCTGTTTCTGTTTTGTATTTATGTTCTTTTTTTTTTTTTAGATTCCACATATGAGCGATCTCATATGGCATTTTTCTTTCTCTTTCTGACTCACTTCACTTAGAATGACATTCTCCAGGGACATCCATGTTGCTGCAAATGGCGTTATGTTGTTTTTTATGGCTGAATAGTATTCCATTGTATAAATATACCACATCTTCTCTATTCAATCATCTGTCAATGGACATTTAGGCTGTTTCCATGTCTTGGGTATTGTAAATAGTGCTGCTATGAACATTGGGGTGCAGGTGTCATTTTGAAGTAGGGTTCCTTCTGGATATGTGCCCAGGAGCGGGATTCCTGGGTCATATGGTAAGTCTATTCCTAGTCTTTTGAGGACTCTCCATACTGTTTTCCACAGTAGCTGCACCAAACTGTATTCCCACCAGCAGTGTAGGAGGGTTCCCTTTTCTCCACAGCCTCTCCAGCATTTGTCATTTGTGGACTTTTGATAGCCATTGTGGCAGGTGTAAAGTGATACCTCATTGTAGCTTTGATTTGCATTTCTCTGATAATTAGTGATGTTGAGCATTTTTTCATGTGCCTGTTGATAATTTGTATTTCTTCCTAGTCCCACTACACACCCTCTGGCAATTGACCTGATAATAATCTTCATAACAATAATGATAACAACACAATTACCCCTTAATTAGGTGATAATGACACCAACTTGACTGCCAAGCAAGGCTTGAGGACCTGACATTAATTATTTTACAAACAAAAGCTAAGCTTTCCCATAAAGAGGGAAAATAAGGGTCACTTTTGCTCACCTTCTAAAGCCAAATAGAAATAACATGCCATCTCATTGGCACAGGTGACAGAGCAGGGAGAGAACAGAGGGTGAGCATGTGCGTATGTGGATATGAGTGTGTTGCAGAGCAGTGATTAGGGATGAAAATCTGGTTAGTGTATAAAGTTCCCAAACAGAATGAATTTCCCATAAGTGTATTAGAAAGTATGGCAGAGATGGGGAAGATCAAGGTGGGTGACGGAAAAGTAGGCAAGTCTTTAAAAGGAAACCTAGGATACAAGATCTTCTCCATAGACAGTGGGGACCCAGGGTTCTATTCACACCCCTTCTAGCCTGGCAGTTCTCACTGGACCTTTATTTCAAACTGAACTCCACCTGGACTGTGGTTCTAAGATGTATTTGCTTCTCTTATATTTTTATCCTCATCTCTGGAGAAGGGGAGACCCATGAACTCAGATCTCATGTTATCTCCAGGTGGACGATCCACACTGGCTTTCCCAGGGGATGAGGTGGGGCCAGGCAGGCATGCCTGCCTCCTCCAGGTCCCTGCAGATCTTCCTCTCCCCTCCCACCTTGGTTGAGCACCCAGGGTCTGTGAATCTTCCGGAGGACTGGATGCCCCAGAATGAGTCAAATGGGGCTTTAGAAAATCAAATCAAAACAAGTTTTTGATAAACCATGTTTGCAGGTTCCCGGGGTGACGACCATCAACGTGGATGACTGAGAATTGATAGTGCTAATGGAAAAGTGTGCGCCTGTCCATACTTCAGGACTAAAGTAGAAGTGGAGCTTTGCTTTTGCACTTGGCAGTGGTTGCTGCTCTTGCAGATCAACAGCAAGCTTCCTGCCCCTCCCGGCAATACAGCTGAGCCATTGCTGAAGCCGCTGAAGCTGCTGAAGCTTTTGCTCTGGTACCTCCAGGCATAGCTCTGTCTGCTCATGGTGACTCAGGGGGACTGAGTGACACTGAGAAGGTGGGAAGAAGGTGTCTCAATGTTTCCCTGCTGGGGTGCAGAGGGCTCCCCTTACATATCTCCTGGAGTCGGCAGCTGGCTCCAAGTTCATGGGTTTGACTCCCTTGAAGCTGAAAATGGCAAGAAAATAAATCATGCTGTCTACTTTGGAACAGTACTTCAGATGATTACTGCTGAGTTAGCAGGGTTTTTTAATTATTATTTATCAACTATCTGCTGACCAAGGTAATATGAAGCATGTGCGATTATACCCCCAAATCTCTCAGATAAGGTGTTTTCTGGCATCTATTGGTTATCTCTTTTCATTGACTTTGAGATCTTCTTTGTTCTTGTTATGACAAGTGATTTCTGGTCAGAACTTGGGTCTTTGGGTCTTATTTTTGTTGCCTTCTCTGACATTACCCTAGCAGGGGAAAAGGGAATAGTGCCACCCCATTACTGCCAGGTGGAATGTGAAGCCTAGGTTCCCTACCTGGTGTCTGCCATCACTGCCATCACTGCCATCACTGATGGATCTGGGACTTGTTCCTGTCTGGTGGGGGTGAAAGTCCCGGCTCCCACCTTGGCCTTCCCTGACATCCCCAGATGCCAGGGGAAAGGGGCAGTTGGGGTACCTTATAGCCTGATGGGTACAGAGTCCAGGATTCTTGCTCTGCTTTAGCTGGAGGGCGACGGGGAGGGGCTGCAGTGTTTTTTGTGGTGTTTGGTTGGAGTAGAGTGGTTACTCTCTGTAAGTTTTCTGTCTTGCTAGGCTGCCCCATCCCTGGCGCTTTGGCTAGAGAGATTAGGCTTCTGTTAGGGCTTTAAAAAAACATCTGTGCCCTCTTCTTCTAGGTTGTCACTTTCTTCTGTTCCAAGTCTGAAATACAAGAAACAAATAGAAAACCCAGAGAACCCACTACCACGTCTTCCTTTGGCTCCTGAGGTCCCTAGCTGGCATACCTTCTTCTCTTGTCCTTTAAGAGTTTTCCTACATTTGTTTTATATATAATATCCAGGTTTTTATTTGTTGTAAGTGGAAGAATGATGTTTACACCATTTCTTCTGCTAGAGCTGTGTCAGAAAAAATATGTCTATTCCATTTTCTTGGATGAGAAATACTAAATATTCTTTTAAAACATGATTTTATTGCTCCTGAGGCTGATGGGGGTTGATTTTCTGCCTCCTTTGTGCTGACTCATCAGAGATACCTGCCCTAGAGACCTAGGCAGAAGCTAATGGCAGAACTGCCCCTCTGTGGGAAACGGGGCTGACTGAGTCATTGTGTGAAGATTAGATGAGGGTTCAGCAGGCATTGAACTTCCCCTGGTAAGGGCAGTGACAGGGTATGAGATGTAAGGGGCCCACTGTTTGAAAACCCGCTAAGGAGAGTTTAAGGTAGGTGCTAAGGAGCCTGTCCTTAGAGGGAATGACTTTCTGAGGATCCTTCACCACTGATTCTGGGTGGAAGGTAAAGAGGACTTGGGGAGGACAGGATTAGGGTCTTGTCCTCAGGAAACTTTCTGGCAGTTTGGGAGGGTTGGCACACACCTGGGATACAGGCAGAGACATGGAATTAGAGCAGACAATTGGTACAATTTGGGGAGGCTGGCCAGAGAGGAGTGGCTGGATTGAGATGAGACAGAGAAGAGTCCCTGGGGGGGGGGCCTCTGTGGCAGGTTCCCAATGAGGGAAGGCCAGGGTGGGAGAGGGGAAGCAAGGCCCATGTGGGGCGAGGGGCTGGCTGCACTCACGCACTGCACTGCAGAGCTGGCATTCAGAGTGCGAACACTTGCTTTCAGCCCTTAGGGAGTGAGCTCAGGGCATGTAACAGCAGTTTGCAGTTTTGCTGAGACACGGGTCTGGATCACGTTCATCCTGATGCTGACGTGTGGAAAGGGGCCAATTAGGGAGGGATCCTGGCTGGGACACTCAGCATCCTCATCACAGCACTGCCTTGCCTCACTCACTGTGCTGTATGAAGAAATTGCAAAAGGATAAAGCCTTGTGTCTAGTGAGAAAAGACCAAAAGGATTGCCAAGTACCATGCTGCTATAGTGAAATTGAGACCATCTAAGAAAATAGTTCTTCTTACCTAGAAAATAGCTGTTTTGTATAAAAAAGAAAGGGAGGTTGAATTTGGCAATTGCTTGTTATAACAGCAGTAGAAACATCATAATACAGAATAAGGTCAAAATCTCTGCACAGAAATGGAAACAAGAGATTGGTAAATTGAACATTATATGGAGGAAATTACATTCTGCATATGTTTGGGATTTGGGAATTGTGAAACTCTTGGTCACATACTTTGGTAACATCAAGGGTCTCATAGAATTCAAATGTTTGTCCTCCTCTCTAGAATTGTGACCTAGGCTTCTGTCTTATTAATTCATGACCCCAGAGCCTATTACAGTACCTTGGACAGAGTCAGCCCTCAACATAAGTGTGTTAAATGAATGGATGGATGAATGAACAAGTATGTGGATGGCTGGCTGGCTGGCTGGACAATATATAAGGCCTGCAGAGCTCTGAATGTGGGATCAGAAGATCAGTCAAATAGGTCTGCAAGGCTGGGGACTGCGTTTTGTTTGTTGGACGTTTGCATCCCGTGGGATTCATACAAAGAAAGGCTTATGAAATGTTTGTTGTCCTCAACCATCTGAGCCTTCGTTTTCCCATTTGTGAAAGGTGGATCCTCACATCTCCTTTCCAGGTCAAGTAGGTTAAATGAGCTTCTGTGTCTGAGGAGCTCTTTTAATGCTGGAAAACCCTGCACCAGTGTCAGCCACCATGAATGGTGACAATTCCAATATTTCAAGGTCAAGGGTGGAGGCAAGGGGAGGGTACAGGGACAAAGTCAGTGCATGAAGGTGAAGGCATGCAGGGCAGCCTGGCTGGCCCAGAGGGGCAGGAGGCGAGCCTGGGAGGGCACAGCAGGGGCCTGCAGCCAGAGGGCTGGGCGTGGATTCCTAGTGGGCTCGTTGCCCAGGGCCTTGGCCGGCCTTGAGAACTGTCTCCAGGAACCCTGGGAAGCCAGATTGCGGAGTCTCTTCCTAGCCACATAAAAGCAGTTCAGCCAGGGTCCCTGGAGCAGCCCATCTGATGCTGGTACAGTTGTGAGATCTCTCACAGATGATGCTGTCAATTAAAGGTCTCCCCTCTGCACCCCCGCAGTCCAGTACCCCCTGCCAAAGCCCTGGCGAGAGGCAGTTGAGGCTGTGAGAAGCCTCACAGCCAAGATCTTTCTAGGGATAATTTGGTCAGCCTAATTACCCCATGTTAATTAGATAAGACTCAAATTACAGGAGCAAGGCTTGCAAACCCTGCACTTTGGGGGATTTCAAGTTATTTACCCGATGTCTCTGATTTTGTTGGGAGAAAATGATTTCTTGCTTGCAGGCAAACTAAACCCACAAATTAGGGCAGTGTCTCCCTCCTGAGCCCTATAAAGCTCAGGTCTCCCGCCTGAGACCACAGGCTGGTGAACTGCATCTCATCTAAGGGTTAGCTGCTCTTTCCAGCTCTCTGGCCTCCCCAGCATGAGCCGCCAATTCACCTGCAAGTCGGGAGCTGCTGCCAAGGGGGGCTTCAGTGGCTGCTCAGCTGTGCTCTCAGGGGGCAGCTCGTCCTCCTATCGAGCGATGCACAAAGGGCTCGGCGGGGGCTTTGGAAGCCGGAGCCTGTACAGCCTGGGGGGTGCCCGGATCACCTCCTTCAACATGGCCAGCGGCAGTGGGCGGGAAGGGGTTTATGGTTTTAGCCGAGGCCGGGCCAGCGGCTTTGCTGGCAGCATGTTTGGCAGTGCGGCCCTGGGGCCTGTGTGCCCGACTGTGTGCCCTCCAGGGGGCATCCACCAGGTCACCATCAACAAGAGCCTCCTGGCCCCACTCAACGTGGAACTGGACCCCAAGATCCAGAAAGTTCGTGCGCAGGAGCGGGAGCAGATCAAGGCACTGAACAACAAGTTCGCCTCCTTCATCGACAAGGTGGGACTTTCTGGAGAAAGCTAAGCCCTAGGATATCTACAAAGCCGTAAAGCCTGGCCACTCCTCTCACGGGAGCCAGACCAGCTCAGACTCTGGTCGAAAAACAGACTCGTAGCCCATATGATACACCCCAAACTATATAGCGAGGCAGATGGGGATGAGTGGTGCCCTAGAGCAGTGGTTCTCCAAAGTGGTACCCAAACTGGCTGCGCCAGCATCACCTGAGCACTCGTTAGAAATGCACATTCTCAGACCCCACCTGGTATCTACTGAATCACAAACTCTGGGAGTTGGGCCCAGGACTTGTGTGTTAACAAGCCCCCAGGTGAAGCTGATGCACACTTGAGAACCACTGAGGAACAAAGGGGTAGGAGGGTTTTGGGAAGCGGAGACTTCCAGAGCTTAGACGAGCAGGGGACACTTATCAGGGGTGACGGTGAGGTAGGGTGGTGAGGCATGAGTAGGAGTTTGCAGGATGGAGGTGGAGAAAGGCAACCTGGGGAGAGAGAGCAGTCACATGAAGAACAATAGGCCTTGTCTGGAGACTGGGGAGACCTTGGGTTTGGGTGTTGGGTGAACGGTGGCATATTGTGAAGAGCACAAGAAGAAGTTTGAACTTGACCCTGTAGGTCAGGTGGAACCATCAGGGGGTTTTAAGCAAGGGAATAGTATGATGCTTGTAGACGTAACTTGAGAAGGCTGCTTCTCCCCTTGGGGAAATGCTCTGAGTTCACAGAGAACTGGACATAAAAGCCACACAGGAGGGCCCAAGACTCCAGATCAGCTGAGCACCTGCCTCTGGCTGGGCTGGGAGAGGCCATGACTGGGGAGATGGAGAGCAGGCAGAGCACAGGCCGGGCCACCAGGCCGGGAGTCAAGGTGCACAAGAACCAGTACGGGCCAGCTTACGTGTCTAAGGACTCACCCCACAGAGGGGGTCCAGGCTGACCATCAGCACTGGTCCAGGCAGGTGAGGACAGGTGCACAGGGAACAGATCTTGACTAGAGGGAAAGGAAGATGGTGAGGCCCCCTCCTGAGGCCACTCCTGCCCCCCAAAAGAGAACCTCGGTTGGACGAAGGGCCCAGGTGGGGAGGGGTACAAGTGCCATTTTCTGAAGGATGAAGCTTATGGAGCATCAGAGAACACAGCCACCGTCCAGGAAAGGAAACCCTACGGCCTCTCACCATTAACTGTCTGTTGATTGGGGTTCCAGGTGCGGTTCCTGGAGCAGCAGAACCAGGTACTGGAGACCAAGTGGGAGCTGCTGCAGCAGCTGGACCTGAACAACTGCAAGAACCACCTGGAGCCCATCCTCGAGGGCTACATCGGCAACCTGCGGAAGCAGCTGGAGGCGCTGTCCGGGGACAGGGTGAGGCTGGACTCGGAGCTGAGGAGCATGCGGGACGTGGTGGAGGACTACAAGAAGAGGTGAGCGGAGACCCTGGGCCCAGGCCGACAGCTTCCCGGGACTGGGCTTTCCCCGCAGACACTGCGATGTCTGCCTCTGACGTCAGGGCACTGAGCTCAGGTGGGAGTGATCTGTCCTGAGCTCCTCTGCCCGGGCAAGATGAGGCCCTTCTCTCGGTGGCCAGGAGGGCTGGGCAGTGGGCAGCCAGCCTCTTGGGCAGTGGTGGGGCTGTCCTGGTGGGCGGCCGCCTCCTTGGCCCACTCCCTCCTGCTTCCCAATAGCGAGATTCCAAGGGTGAGTACCCCACAGCCGCTTGGGTCTTAAGCTCATCAGGTTGCCCCCAAGGTCCAAGGAACCCCCCCAGGCAGGGCAGGGAGATGGAATTTCTGCTGGGCTTCCTCGTCTCCCTCAGGCCCTGGACATTTGGGCCATGCTCCTCTGCCTGTCCCAGGGGACAGTCCGCCCAGCTTCCTCGGGACTAATGCTTGGGGAGGTGGGTGGGGTTACTCGTAGCGGTGTCAGGCAGCCAGGTGACACAAGAATGGTGGCTGAGAGGGGCAGTGGCGTGTGCCTGGGATTTGGACACTGAGTGGGAGGAGGAAGAACCTATTCACTCTTTAGGCTCCAGAGGAAAGCTAGAGCCAAACCATCGGTCACTTGGCCCGGAAGGGCGTTACTTCCTACCCCACCCACAATGCTGGCCATATATTCCTAGTGAGTTGGGCAGAGCTGCAAAGATGTAGAATAATATCTGTCAAAAGGTGTATAACTTGGACATCTCGGTAGTCCTTTCACATGAGGACACACACACACGCACACTCTTCCCTCTGATGTTTCCTGCAGGTATGAGGAGGAAATAAACAAGCGCACGGCTGCTGAGAATGAATTTGTGGTGCTTAAGAAGGTGAGGAGAGGGTGCATGCCCCTCGGTCTCCCAGGGAGTGGAGTGTGGGGGGCGCGGGGAGACTGGGGCCTGTGCTCCCTACAGAAGGGCCTGGAGCCGAAGTTCCAGAAGAAGGTGGGGGGGATTTGCAGCTTGGGGACATCTTGGGACACCTTGGTGTTTATCTAGCACACATCGCTTTGTCTGTCCCGTGTTTTGTGTAAATGGGCAGAAGTGCAGGTGTGGATGGTCCCTCCCCGGGCCATGCCCAGGGTGGATTGGAGAACAGGACATGCTTTGAGACGGGCTGCCGGGTTCCCCCTCCAACTCAGCCTGTCTTTGGCAAATTGCCCTTGGCTCTGACTGATCAACCATGTCGGGGATAGGGCTTTTTTCTGTATCTTTGAAAATAGAGACAGTAAAAGGATTCCATCCTTGGATGGGGCAGAAGGCGTTCCAGGGGCATGAGGGTCTTGCTCAAAGTCTCGCAGTGAGTCCTGGGTGGAAGTTAGGTTCCTGCCTGTCGGGCCTTGACTCCACTCCCTGGGGCAGCCAGCCACAGAGCTGAGTGCCGGGGTGCCAAGTTCTTGGAAAGCCCTGTCTGGGCTTGAAGAAGGGTGACGTCAGGGGGTCTCTGGGGTCCCTTAGGACGTGGATGCAGCTTACATGAGCAAGGTGGAGCTGCAGGCCAAGGTGGACGCTCTGGACAGAGAAATCAAGTTCTTTAAGTGCCTGTATGAGGGGGTAAGTGTCCCCCAACCCCGCTCCCAGCTCTGCCTTGTGAAAGGACAGACATGGCAATGAGCGGTTACTTATCAGGAAATTTAAGAGTGCAGAGAATCCCCAACATTTGGAGGCTGGGAGCTCTGTAGATCAAAGCAAGAATGACATTTAACCTGATACCTCCAACTGACGTGTGCCATCAGTCCCAGCCTGGCCTCCAGATCTCCCAGTCTCACATATTTCTGGAAGCCATGGGACCCTAAGGGGCTCCCACTGATCTTCAGCCAAGCGCATTCTCATTTCTTCCTATCTTCCCTCTGCTGCCTGGGGTACTTCCTCAGGTCTTAAGTATGCATCCCCAGGGATGGATGTGGGAAGTCCTCACACCCTTTCCACCATGTCTATGACCATTTGTCTGTTGGCCAAGCTTCCATGAGCTCCCAGGTCCTTAGCGTCTCCTGTGTGGTGGCCGAGCTGTTTCCCCTCTGCCTTTTCCTCTTCTAACCTGTCTCAGGTGACAGACACAGGGGTTTTTACCATCTTGGGCTTTTTCAAACCCATCCAGCAGTTTTCAGATGTGCTGTTGGAACCTCTGGACTGGTGGGCTCCATCTTTGTAAGTTTTGGGGGGTACAGCTTGCATCTGTTTGGGAGGGTCTAGGAGCACCCCTGCCGGGGCAGGTCCATCACCTTGGTACCTTCCTCTGCTCACAAAAGGCATTTCAGGCTTCCTTGTTTCCCCTGCAGGAGATCGCTCAGATCCAGTCCCACATCAGCGACACATCTGTAATCCTGTCCATGGACAACAACCGGGACCTGGACCTGGACAGCATCATCTCCGAGGTCCGTGCCCAGTACGAGGAGATCGCCCTGAGGAGCAAAGCTGAGGCTGAGGCGCTGTACCAGACCAAGGTGGGGCAGCACGCCTCCCCAGAGTCACGTGTTCTGGGGTCTCTGGTCCGATCCCATGATCCACCATGGCCCCCTTGCTCTCTGAGAGCACAGCGTGGTCCCAGGCACTGGAGGAGGAGACAGCTCTGACCTTATGATCCACTGAGACCAAGCAAGTCATGAGAGGACACACACAGCTGAGTCTAAATGAACGTGTCATAGCATCATGAATGCTAGTGAGACAGAGGTTAGGGAACCAGGACCAGGTGGGGCAAGTCAGGAACAACGTCCTTGGAGGCAGAGAGTTTTGAACTGAGTCTGGGAAGGAGGAAAACATGGATAGTCAGCATCTCAACCCCCTCATTAATTACAATAAATTATGGGGTCTCTTCAGTGTGATCTGAGACCAGGGAACTCCTACCTTTCCATTCAAGTCCAACTCCAAGGAGAATGGGGGAGTTTGAGTCTCTTAGATGTTAACTCCTCTAATGGGTCGTGGGTGGGAAAATGAGTCTTTAGATAACTTGGTTTCTCAGATCAAGAAGGCGGCTTCCTAATTGTCCTTTCTGTTTATCAGGATCCTTCTCAAGGGAAATCCATATTCTTGAGACCTTATCTTGTCCCTCCTTGCTACCCTAGGAGCAGAAGGATTTGACCTGCAGAGGCGGGAGGGAGGGAGGGTGGGAGACTTTCAAGGCCTAGGAGACAACTCAGGCCAGGGCTTCTTGAGAAAAGTTCAAACTCAAGTCCCCAGTTTCCAAATCCCTCTACATTCCTGCTGCCAGCAGAATCGGAGGTGGCCATGTGGCCTTACCCCTCTGGATTGTTAATGACTAACGTTTAACTCCAGGGTCCTTCTGGAAGCGTTAGGCAGGTCTGCACAGACATGACTTGGGATCAGTTGCTGCTTGAAGTTAGTCACACGTGCGCTTCTCCCGTCAGGGGCAAGCGCTCACCGAGCAGAAGGTCATCAGTGTCGTCCTAGCGACGGAGTTCTGAGGGCTTGTTGTTGTTGTTATTCCCCTTTTGATGGGAACACAGATGGAGGAGCTGGGGCTCAAGGAGTCTAAGTAACCTGCTAAGGCCATTGAGCTGCTAAGTGATGGAGCTGGATCTGAATCTCCATGGCTGACTGCCAATTCCATGGCTCTGGTTAAGACGCATTTAGGATAAGGGCTTGGGGTGGGCTGGGAGCTGAATGGCAGGAGTTTACTCTCAATTTGCCTCAGGAGGAGATGGCCTGGTATCAGAACTGGGGAATCAGTGCCTCTGTTCTGGCCCGTAAAAGATGGGGGCAGTGTGACCAGAAGCGGGAAAAGGCCGCCTATCCTGGCACAGTGTTAACCGCCCAAGACTAGCAGCAAAGATAAGACACAGGAGCACAGTGAGAAGCCCCCC